TCCAAAGACAGCTGACTCGACCACTTTGAAAGTATTGAAAAGGAGCCATCATCACCATGGTTGTCGTCGTCACGGTTATCGTTGTCAACAGAACAACAACACCCAATGACCCACCACTATTGAAGATCAATGACTGAACTACGAACCTCGCTGGATCCATGGTGGTGACTATGTCCCTCTTGCTTCCTATAAAGACTCCTTGCTTCTTCTTTCTTACCTCTTCTATCGCCCTCCTTCCCTTCCCCATTACCCTAATTCATAATAGCGTCCGTCCTCCCCTTCACCATCTCCCTAATTAACACCTTTAATAAACTGGTCAGACCAACATTTGAACCACTGTTTCTTAATCTCACACCGGGGATATAGATATTAAAAGAACCTCCTCTCCCTCCTATAAATTTGAGCGAGACACATCTGCCACTCCCTTCAGCACTCATGGATGCAACCCATCAGAGCCCATCAACATTCAACTTGTGTTCAGTTAGCTTAAGCACCCCCTGCCCTTCCACAAAAGGTACACCTTTCTTGCCCCAGCCTTTTAGTGTGTCTTTCAGGACCTAGAAGTCCCAAAGGACAGTCTTGCTGTAAAGAGTGAGGGAAGGAAGGCATTCAGTGCCTTGACCTCTTTGCCGTCAATAATAAGCAAAGAGATACTCAGACTGCTTGCCTATGAGAACACATTTATTTGATGAAAACTCATAGAAGGAAGCATGCAAATCAAATGTTAACAGCAGATATATTAGAAAGAATGAAACTACAAGAACAGTGGAGGATGTTGTTGCTTTCACCACTCCCAAGCCATCATTAGCCTGGTAACAAAGTTTTTAAAATATCAAGCACTATCCCTCCAAAAAAATCACAATAGGGATATAGTGGACATGTTTTTCCTTCCATCAAAGCACAGCATAGAGTAAGCTCAAAAAGTGTTTTTTAATAATGTACAGGGGAAAAAAAGAATTATCATGGGGGCTTTTCACTCTGACAAACATTTCAGCAAAAGCTACACTTCTACCCTCAGAACCTGTAAAACTACAGGTAAATATTTCCTGACCTGTAAGAGTATTTGACCTAGAGGCAGTGTATACCACAGAAAGTGCTTGAATATCAGCCTACGAGTGCATAATTCATTGGCAGAGATGGAGATGATTTACATTTCTTATGTGGAAACAGAAAGAAATACAAAAATTCATATCCAGTATGTTCTAGACTTTATGCTTTAATAGGGCTAATTTAGAAGTGCTGTAAATAATTTTCAATCAAATCAGAGAAAAACAAACAGAAGCATCTGAGAGATGATTGGAACTAATTCACATTGTACTCAGAATACACAATCCAAAAAAGTGGAAAAAGTACCCACACCACTTACAAAGCAACCTACTAAGGGAAAAAAGCAGGCACAAAATTATATTTGCTATATATAAGTATGCGTATGTATTTTTAAAAATGGAACAGGGGGAATATATCCATAACCACTCAAAGTGTTCTGACTGTCATTCATTATTTTAAAATCTGTATAAGCATATGGTAAATTCTCAACATAGTACTCATAATAAGATTTTGATGAGAATACTCTTCAGCCCTCTGTTTAATATTTATGAAATAAGCATTTACTTAATCAAAGTAAGCCTTTAACTGAAGCAGTGTGGTTCTATGACCAGAATGAAACGAATATAAATAATGCAAGTTTGAAGCTAAGCATTCTAGAAAATGTATAAAAGAAACATGATAAAAAACATCTAGCCAGCACAGTTAGAAGCAAATGACATTTAACTAGACTAGAAACAAAAGGAATCCTGAAAACAGTGCAAGTCCATTGCTTTTTTTTTTAAAATAGTATTTCTGCTCTATCCAGGCTCAGCTCAAAGTAAAACTGTGACAATGATGCTGACTCTGTACAGAGGCAGGTGGTAGAAATCTGCTTAATGCAGAAGAGGCCTAAGCATCTGTCAGAAATGTGCTTCTTCAGTGGTGGGAAGATGCAGTCAAGACCTGATGATGAACATTACACTGATGTGCAAACATTAGCAACACTTTGGTCACTGCTGCTGCTTAACGGCTTCCTTATTAGGTGTAATGTTTTTTTAAGTAAGCTCATCCAGCCATCTGTATTTTACATAAAAGAGCTGACTTATGTTGTCTTGAGCTCCCTACTGGCAACTGGATCTTAACCTTCTATTTCCTCTTCATGCTTCTCATACAGAGGACTCATGTAAGATCTTGCATTCCCATCTCACCTATAGCATGTCAGCCAGACTGTTGGATAAGAGCTGCCTTGTTAGCCTTCCAACAAAATGGTGGACAGACAAACCTAGAAGTTCAAAGAATAGGCCTGCAGAATGCTGAATGCCTGGCTCCTTGGCAACCCAAACTCTCATGTAAATCTGGAAAAGCAAACCAGAAAGGGTACTGTGACACAAGGAACACAAGAGCCATGTGGTCCTCAGCTATTCAAAGAGACATTAATTGCCCCCCGAGCCACAGATTCTTGGCCTTTCCATTTCCAAGAGGCTTTCTTGGCCTATAATGGCTTGGTTCCAGAGTTAAAAATGAACAAACTGTAAATCCTATGTAAAAAAAGTCACCTGTCAGAGGGGCCTGACATCATCTAGAGGAAGAGGTAGGCTGCAAAAGTGTTATTCTAATGAGATAATTTAACCTCTAGATTCTGTAATGAGGAAAACAAAACAAAAACCAACACAGGACACGCAGGAGTTTTAGGTAGTATAAGGTAAAAGGAAGCAGCATCATCAGGAGTGTTATTACAGACAGACAAATACAATGGGAATGTTATAATTAACCTTTTCACTTGTTTTGGGAACACTGAGGGTCCAGTTCTTCCTTTTTTCAGAACTTCTGATTACATAGAGTTGATCATCACACTGCTGTTAATCCCATGCCAGTGTTAAGTTTTCAGCTCAGTGCCTCACAACATGCCTGAACCAAAACCTGCATCAGAGTCTTCCAAAAATGGTACCATCCCAACTTCACTTTGTGGCATACTTAATTCTCTTAAAGCCCAGGGCATTTCAGCAATGTGGAATTGGAAAATCAGTGCAGTTTTACACTGCATCAAAGGTCATATCTGAAGGTCTTTTATTTTAAGTAGTCATAGGCCCATGTTTTCAAAAAGCATTGAGCAATTTTAAATGTTTCATTTTTTAACAGGTGCTTAATCAAAAAAGCTGGGAAGAGTTTGTTTTCTCCAGAACTACTGACAATCTGCCTTCAGACATCAACTCAAGAAAAAAATAAAAGGTTTAGAGAAGGCAAATGAAAAGGAAGGGGCACCAAAAGCTTTGCAGCACTGCCTCATTACTCCCACTGCACTAAAATTTTCTTCCTTTTTTTTTTAAATATACTTTTGCTGAATGCATGAAATCTATTCGCTTTTGTGTCACTTAGAATATGCTGTCTGAACAGTTATTTCAGATGCATGTATTTTAAACAATTTACTTTAAATTATGAACTCCACGCTGCCAAGTATTCACATGTACTTGTAATTACAGTGGTTGGGAGTGACAAACACCAGGAGACCACCTATCAAGCCAATTTCTCTCTATGTCTGTAACAGTATCAATCTACTTATCGTATTTTACACTACTGGAGAGTATATGGTGTTTACAGTGTTATATGTTTGCCAGATGCATGTTAATTAAAATAGTGGAAACTTAAATGTGTCTTTGCCTGGTTTCTTCATTCAAGTGGCTTAAGAAATACTCAAAAGTAATTTTCATTAAGTGCTGTGCTATTTACTGGTGAGGACAGAAATGGTCATTAGTGACTCCCTGCTGCTGAATGCAGCTCTCCAATTGTTCATAATTCTTGCGGAAGGTTTGCTTTAAAATATGAAAAGAATGCTAAAAGGAACTGTATGGATTACTATTCCAAACCTGCTGTCTTGTCACAAATGCCAATATAGACTGACATTTAGTTTTAAGCTCCGGATGTGAGTTTTAACAGTTGAAGCAAAATCCATAAATGAGCAACAAGAACATATTTTCTAAAATAAACATCAGGGAAAAACAGTCAAGAGCCCAATTAATGTGGTGGGTTTTCCTCTCAAGAACCTACGTCTAGATTTTCAACATCTTAAACAGGGAAAAGCTTTTGGAAGATTTCTTCTACACCTTTTTCTGTTTCCTTGTTTGTACCAGGATAGAATACAGAACTGTTTGTAATAGGATAGGTGTGGTGTACCCCCTAGATTAAACACAGGACTTGCTGCTTACTTGAGTCTTGGGCCTCTCTACACTGGTTCAAAAAATGCTGGGGCAAAGTGAACTGATGCACTCACTAAAGAACCTTACCCTTCCTAATTTACATGGCAAATCATTTTAAGATGTGCTGACTTTGACTAGTAGGACTTCCTGAGTTGTACTTTCACAAGGATAAAATATTCTTGAAAAGTTTCTCCATTCCATAGGACAAAAAGTGTTCTCTTTAAGAGCAGATGAGTGCTGTATGTGTTCTTGCCCCACCTAGCAATCCTAAGACCAGTATATTTACTGCAGAAGTTGGGAGAAAAATGCTACTTCCTATTATTTTTACAGTTACCATATTTCTCTCTCAGTATCTCAAGGCTATAGTGAACAGAGTCTTGTTCACCATCATGATAAAAAAGCAGTAAGGTGCTTTTATTCCTTTATGGTTTTTTTCCTTTCTTTTTCCACTGTATTTTGTGACAAACCCTGTCATGCTGGGAGATAACTAGAGGATGTCTTCCTGGTGGAGCTCAGCCCTATTTAAAACATATGATGTTACACACAAGCAGCAGTTTTTGAATTCAGTTATTAAACGGCACAGAACCACCAATAAATTAATCCATGAAAATGAGTGCTATGGTAAAAATGCAATACAAGCCATCTCCACGAATCACCACACTTTTGGCAAATTCATCTTCATACTTGCTAGTGAGAGTTGTCTCTTTTAGAGAAACTATCTTGCAAAGTCACCAAATGATCTTTCTTTCCATGCAAAATACCCTGCTTGTCTTTTAAATAGACTCCCCCCTCCAAAAGAGTATATGAAATATTCCTTTAAAAGTAAATCTAAAACCTATTCATAAATTGGCACTAACATGCATATCAAAGATGTTCTACAGAACTGCATAATGCCAGAAGCACTTAGCTTTTCCATAAAAATCTTAACGAAGCTTAAAACAGCAACTTCTAGCATCATTACTAAGATATAGCACATTATGTGCGCATCCTTTCTTCTTATACAAATGGTCAATTATTGCTTTAATCACATGCAAAAGAGCATACAGGTATACATACATATCAAGTGAATAAAGCAACGTTAACTAAGCAAACAAAGTTTTAGCACACGAGGATGTTATATTAAAATAGGAATGAATGAGGCCCTGTACTAAGTCTGTGAATTCAGACTGCACTGAGATCACGAGGAGCACAGAGGTTTGTGACCCACCCAAAGCTGTCCTCTCCATAAAGAGCTTTCCTTGTGTTCCAAAAGCAGCTGCTTTCTTCAGAAATTTCTGTTGTCTTTCCAACTTGGGGACATTCCTACAGTTTCTCATAATTTCAGTTTTGGAAGTACTGGTCACATATGAGTTACATCCTAGCAAGAAAACCGAGCAAAGTTCCATTTTACACTCAGGATACTGCACCCAGTGGGGAGACGCACTATTTAAGGAAATGCATAGTCTTTGCAAATACAAAGTCTCAGTTACTTCCCTTCTTCAAGGAACGATAATGTAGTAAATCATACCTATGAAGTTTTACGAAATATTTATTATAGAGATTTACCAGCTTTATTAGTTTCACCTCCATCAGCAGCAGGCCTTTCACAAAATGTAATGATTTTTATTTTCCACTTCTCAGCCTTTGACTATAAGGCATTAAGACAATACAATGATTTATTTTTCCAGATGTGTTTTTCTTTCTCTGAGCGTTATTTTCTTCCTGGTTTGGTTTAATTTTACACTTGACTGAGGTGTATAAACTGAAGGAACTGAGGTAATTTTGGGAAAATACTTATGTGGGTTACAAAAAGAATCGTTTTGTAAAACGGTTACAGAAATAAGATAATCTGAATACAACTTACTTTAAAAACCCAGTTAATAGCAGTGGCATGACAGTGGTATAAGAAGCACTTATACAGCTTAGGAGTGATGGAATCTGGATACATATACTCCATTTCTAACTTGACTTCAGGCTTTCTCACTCCTGTAATCCAGAGGTGACCAGACAAGAGCAGAGGGAGGAAATCTGGAGTGCAAATGTTTTAGTTAAAGCTGACTATTGGGATGTACATTCATCAGTTTCCTAAGTGTTGTCACTTCATGCAATCACACTCTGTTGTGGTCACCTCTTCCACAGGAATCTCCTCTAACTAACTTTTGAATGCACTGATGAGTAGCAATCAAATCTGACAGAAATGTAGGTGAGTTGGAGACAACATCTGAACAAGCTCCATGTAACACACCACAGTGGAACATCCCTACCACAAATTCATTATCCAGCAACTCCCAAGTCTATGCCAACAAACACTGGCACATATCAAAACAATTCAGTTAAAAAAAAGGCAAAATTGAGAAAAAATAAAGAAAAAAAAGGAGTTTGCTGCTGTATGAAGACATTACAGGGCATCCAGGATATCTTGCTCAAAACTAGCTCAGGTATTGCTCGAGGGCATCAGCACTTTTTCATACAAGGAAGACATTAAGTTTCCTTTGTACTATTAAAAGCTGTATCTTCAACAGTTCCTTTACCCACACTATCAGAAAACAAATTCACTCAGTGGGGTAATTATCCTTCCCTAAGCCTTGAATTTCATTTCTTATCTTCTACCTATGACTTTTCTTTTAGTTGGGAAGTAACCATTTCTGATAGCTCATTAAATCGACCTTCTATATCAGATCTAAGAATGTCCCATTTGCTTTCAGCTTGTGTGGCTCTCATGGTGTTTATTTGTGAACTCTCCCTTTGAGCTTTTGATGCCTTTCTGGCTAAACCCTTCATTCCTTTAATGTTTTGAATTTTCTGTCATGTCCAGACTGCAGACCATCCATAAAATAAAGGTTTGTATTACATTAATTCTTCTCCTTACTAAATTCTATTTTCTTTAAACAGAGCTTAATTCTGTATCTCCTCTCTTCAAGAGCTGTTCTCTTATCCAAAGATGCAGGTACTAAAAATTGCAAGTCTGGCTCTTCAGTCTTACATCAGTCAAAACATTCATCCTCTTTTTTTTCCCCCTGGTTTCTGTAATCTCTCCAAGAATGCAAACTCTATACAAATGTTCATCATCAGACTGAATACAATACTCAGATTTCCACAACAGTTTCATAGTCAGTTTCCCCTTCTGGGATACCTGAAAAGCTATGAAAAACACTTGTTGCTTCTGAATGTACTGTTGTAAGAAACAGAGCTACCTTTAAACTCCTTACAGCCCCTGCTCTCCGGCAAGAAATGAGGTGCCACTCTCTAATTACACTACTTTGGAGGTTAAGTCCTTTTATTTTTGGCATTCTGCACTGTCCGTCAATCACCCTGAGCCAAGTTTTTTAGCAAAAAAGAAATGTTACTCTGAGCATCCGAGTTCAAACAGATCAGCACATCGTATTACAGGTTTCTGCATAAAACCATAACCAGTTCCCTCATTTGTAACAAAAACTTCTCAGGCTCACTAAAATCTCTGTAATAGCATGGCTTCTGAATTTTTATTATGAAGCTGTCCTGAATTTCTGTCTGCTGCTTGGCAGTAGTTGTAGGTTGCTTTGTTCTTCTGAAGTGGTAAAAGCATCTCACCTCAAATATTACTCTATTCATTGGTGCTATTACAAAATTCCTACAGGAAACAGAATAGAAGTTTCCTCAGAAAAGCTTGACTCAAAAAGCTTTCTAATCAATTTTTCACTACTGCCCTTTTTTTCCTGCTTGTAATAGTTTTTATGTAAATACTCAAAACTCTACAAAGGACTCTTCCAGAGAAGAAACTGTCACTCTGTGACAGATCCAAATCTGAAACGTCCTATGTTCAGGGGAGTTTCTGATTGTACCCCACCACAGGAAAGAGACAGCTAAGAACTCTTGTTTATTACCTCATGCAGAGCAATAGCAAATACATCCCTCCCATCTACTAAGCAGCAACCAAGCAAAATCTAAACTTTTACATTTCAATCAAGTCATAGAGATTAAACATTCACTATGGCTTATTGTTCCTTATGATCATTTTGAAGTCGCATTGGGCTTTCTGCTGTTTATGTATAAGTGCTAAAATCTCACAAGGCAATACAAAGTTAGAGAGAAATATCCCTCACTGACCAACACAACAGGGACAGCAACACCTCCCTAGCAGAGATACCTGCAGTCAGTAATCAGCAAGTACAAGAAATTGAAAGAAAATGTTCAGACCACGTATTCTGCTCACAAAAAAAAGTGAAATTGCTTTTGACAGGTTCATAGCTATACAAGACAAAGTGCTTACAGGTAGGCCACCAAGAGTATAAGCAAAAAGAAAAACTAAACTCACCCAAGTAGTGACAGGGCTGTCCAGCCATACAGCAACTCTCACTCACACAGCAGCTTAGGTCCAAGAGAAGATTTCCCTTCCCTGGTCAGCCCTTATATGAGCCCAGGATGTTCCACTCCTTCTGCTCACACAGAGAACACAGGTGCAAACAATTTGGCTGTGCTCCCTGGGCCAGCCACACCCTTTCACCAGGTGCTCAAGTCACCAGTTCAAGGCATGACCTACCAGTTCCCCTACACCATGCATTTAAATGCAGCTGAACTTGCTTGAAGCAAATTAGGGAATGCTTAGTGCTGCTAGGGTCTGCCTCTCAGGCCTCAGGCAGTTCAGGACTGGGAGAGGCCACCAGCTTAGAGCCACAGAGGAACAAGCCTTGAGGCACGGTTTGATGTCTGTACACCTCTGAATAAGACTTTTGGACAAGCTCGTTAAGGATCCAGGACAGTTCCTGTCTCAAATGGCACTCTGGCCTTTGAGTCATCTACCCACACACACGTTTGTTCTGACAAGTCACAGGTGAAAGTAATTTGTATTGAGTGGCAGCAAAACCTTCCGAAGGTCAAATCAGTTGATAAAGACAGTTGTAGAATAGGGCTTAGGATAGAAAGAGTCTTGAAATATTGATAGAGTGTAATATGCTGAGTGGAAGATGATTTTTGTTTTTGATTGAAGCAAAAATGTGAGAGGAAGATTCAAGCTATTTGCAAAAAGAATTTGTTCCTTCCTTGATAACGCAATAAAATAAGGTAAACGTGTGCACTAATTCAATCCATTTAGTAAATTCTTAATGTACTTAATATTAAACAATTTCATATAATAAATACATGTTACTATTAAAATCAAAATAATTTCTATATATGCCTCCTATTTCCATACTAAAGGATTGTGTCCTGTCAGTTCTTGTTATCACACACCAGAAATAGTAATGCACCTTTCCTGGTGTTGGTTTATAAATAAAAATGCATGTTTTTCTAACAACCTTTAAATGAGACACGGTTTAAACTTTTTAGGTCAATTCCAGAAATCTAGTGCTTGATGCATCCTTCTCCTGAAAGCAGAAATTAAGTAGGGTAACTTAACTACATAACGTGTCAGATTGTGAATGAATTTGAATATAGAAGGAAGGGTAAAATAAATTATGGTTATGTTTGTGAGCACAAGGGTAAATTAGACTAAATTAGGCTTAATACAGCAGTTTAACCCTGATTAATTCTGATAAGCTCTCTCTTTTCAAATATAGTCAGTAAGAATTGCCCATGAAGTAGACATAAAGCAAGTGTAGCCATTAAGTAAAATATATGCATGTATTTTGCTTTGTATTTTCATTTTTCTTGTCCCACTAAGTAAATTTTGCTTGATGATGTAGTTAAGTTATTTTGAAAGCAGGATGTGAAATCCAGTGCGAAATGAATTGGCAGGAAGAGCTAGCAGTTACAAGAATTATTTGTTCTGTATAAAGGTCCTAATAACTTTTCTATTTTTTCTAATATCCTGTTTTTTAATTGAATTTAGATCCTGAAATACTAAAAAGATGAATGGTTTATTAAGATGCTGTCATATTTTTAACACAGAGCAATGAGAATTTACATTTGTCTTAAAGCACACTTCTGAATGTGGAAGCACAAATGATATTGCATTTTATTCTTGTCTTCTGAAATTGCTCATTGGTCCAAGGTTGTCAAGGTCAATGAGAACTGTGCCCAAGTCTGTGATTAGGAAGCAGGAGGAAAATGATAGAGAGAAAAATCTGAGTTGACAGAAAAACATGAGAAGATCTAATGACAGAAGGGCTAAAGTGTGCATGAAACAGGAACTGACATCATTATGCAGAAAGCAGCTCTTTAAGCAGCTTTTTATATGGGTTGAAAAATTATTAGAGTTAATTAGTAAAAATCTGATCTAAGTTTTCTTGGTCTAAAATCATATTCACATTCCTGTAGCAAGTTCGATCAGCTTTCAGCCAGCAGTCCCTGTCTAATAAACAGTGAGTAAAACCCATATCTAAGCAAAAAGCCAATGGCTCCTACTATGGACCTGATCCTAGTTTGGCTGAACAAAGTTCTTGGCACCTTTCAGGGCATAGAAACTGAAAAACAGAAGGTAGAATAGCATGCAAAATATGATTTTTTTTTTTTTTTTTCATGAAAGTTCTACAGACAACAGGCCATTGCAACAAAAAGAGAACGAGAAATAACAACAAAACGAACTTGAAGGAAAAGGCAAAGTACATCTTACAAAAACATATTTTCTTTTTTTATCATAATTATGATGGCAGCTCAAGCTGCCCCAGAAGTAGGTGAAATAAACATACATACTCCAGCTTTATCCCTTATTTCCATTAAAAATATTACTGCTGATAACTACATTGCACTTAGAAGAAGGAAAAAAAGCAGGCCTCTAATGTTTATATTCTGCTCTATTCATTCTTTTCTCTTTCCATTTCTCTCATCTCCTAGGTTATTTATTGATTCATTTTTCTCTACTTTGCACCATTTTTTTTTTCTTTATACGTTCCAGATTGGTTTCTTGCGGCACTGCTGGTTTATGTTTTCTCTATTGCTTGTTTCTAGAAATGCACAATTCAGCAGAGACTAATGGCTTTTTTTTTTTTCCCAATTCTTCCACTATTGCATAAGTGTTCCCTTCTCTTGTCTCTGACTACATTTTACTGACTCAATGAGCCTCACCTGGAGTCTCCATCCACCCCTCACTTGTGGGCACAGAGGCTTTCTAAAACTCAGCCTAACACCCTCAATTTATTTTCTAGCTATGCTGTAGGAATGCTGATCTTTAGCTCAGCCCTGGGTACACCCAATCATAGATGATCCTGATCTACAGGCTGGCTCTCCAGCTTGATCTCAGACCTGCCCTTTGATGATAGATCTGCTCAGCAGTCATTAGAATGGATTCTGTCCCTGTCTTGCTGTTTGGCTTCAGCTTGATCTCAGACCTCCCTCATGCTCAGGACTCATAATTCCAGGACCATGGTCAAGACTATGATTTCTAGGCCTGTTGTATTCCTCTCTGGGATGAGTACTACAAGGTCAAGAGGGCTTTTCCCCAATGGGTCCTCCTTCTCTGGCTTTGAGGGGACAAATGGTCCTTGCTGCTCTGTGACACCTGATGTGGGAATTCTAGGATATTTCTTACTCTTTCCAAATCCAGCTTTATCCTAGAAATTATGGAAACTCTTAAGTGTACATGTATACATATGTATATACACTTAATATATATTTATGTATATTGTTTTCTGAATAATAACTATCTTGGGATGCAAGGAATTGAAAAAATAAGCAGATGTGAAGCAAACTTGCTCTGCTAACTTAAGGAAATCCTGCTTTATATACTTAAGAGTGTCAGAACATGTGAAACCATACCTTTCTGTTACAAGCATCTGAGACAAAGAAAGCAAGACTGAAAAGAGAAAGTCTGTGTACCTGAGTGAACCAGGAACCTCTGCTTACATTTTATTGGCTTGACCCTGAAAGTGGTGTCCTGTAGCACATGCTATGAGCTACTGTATGTGTCTTTCACATCTTATTCTTACTGTCCACAATGTATTTGCTATAAGTAGTTGAGATGACTTGTGATCTCTAACCCAATGTATATGATGGCAAAGACAGACTTGACAAATGAAGACTGAGGTTAGCCTTTTTTTCTGACAAATGAAGAACATGGACTGACAGCTGAATGAGAAAACCATTCTGGTGTCCTTTTAAAATTGATGAACCTGTCAGTAATCTTCTTGGTCAAATAAGAATTACCAATGAGTCTGAACAGATAGCCTACTGAAGTTTAATAAATAAACTAATAGCAAGGAGGAAGAGCTAGTGTCATTCTGATGCATGAGAAAGAGCTTGTAGAGGTCAGCATTTTGTATAGTACCAACCACCAAAATAAGAAGCATGCTCAATTTTTAAAATCCAGCTGTAACTTCAGAAGCTACTGAACCCATTTTGAGAATTTGCTGATTGTTTTCTAAAGGAGGTACGTTCAGTGGTGAGAGGCAAATAGCTTGGCATAACTTCCAGCAAGTTTGTGACAGAAAGCAGACAAAACTGAAGTTACACAGCTTCGACAAAAGTCCGTTGGTCCTGGCCTGCATGATGTCCTTGGAAGGGTGCAAAGAATAGTCTGATGGGGTTATTCAAAGTTATACAAAGTAATTAATTGGAAAGAAAAAAAAAGTGCTCATTGCTGTCGTGTAGAGATGCATATTTACCAGTTTATCCCAGAAAAAGACAGATTACTTAAATGGCCTCAACAGAATTGAATGTTGATAACGTTCGGTATGATGTCCCCAATAAAACCCCTTTCAAGCCAAGATATCACAAGTAATCCTTAATACTCTGAGCAGTATTTGTTAACAGCTGTGACTCTGAACTAACGAACACAGTAGGCATTTCCTCATACAGAGGGTGCAAACTCTCATTTTAATAGGGAACTTAGTATAATGGCTACTTTTCAGCTGAAGGAAAAGGGATTTCCCTCCATAACTCCATCAGTTGTCTGCCTGGTTTCCAGCTCAGCTGCTCTGCTTCAGGCTGGAACAAAAGATTTGCTCACAAGTGAGCAAATTATTAGCCTGATTTATGTTAATTCAGATTGCTATGTATAACTGTTTCCAGATCTACCATAATGCCGATAATTTTAGAGGAAAAAAATCATGATGCATGTCATATTTTTTATTAATATTTAGATATTTAAAATTCCTGTCAATTGCATCAAATTGCAATCAACTAGCAAACACAATTCATTCAATGTCATACAGTATCAAGATGTATAACAAGTTAAAGATACGATGGCTACTATAATAAAATATATTAAAATAAGCCCTTGATAATAACTGGCAAAAAATACAAAAATAATAGCATATATATATATATATATATATATATATATATATATATATAGGACCATAACAGTTCATGTTGGTCAACTAGTCCAAAATATTTTGTTTTAGAGTTGACATTTCTTCAATCCAAAAGGCAGTTCTATTTTTTTTTGTTGTTGTTCAGTCACAGCTTTGGAACTGTAACATTATTTATTTGTGAAAAATCTCCTTTCACAAATGCAGTAAATTGTATTATTAAAACCCTCAGAACCTATGTTTGCATCACATTTGTAAAATA